CAACCCTTTGCCTCAAAATGGTGCAAATTTTGCACCAAAATGGTGCAAAAGTCACATCTAACAGTAATTCATCTCCAACCCATTGCACCATTTTTTGCACCAAAAAGGAATATTCTCAGTATCTTTCTTTTTATCTACTTTTATATGATTATTTTTTATTCCCTATATTTTTAACTATTTCAACAATTAACCTCACATATCAAATTTTATTTTTTCACATATTTTCCAAACAAAATGATTTATTATTTAAAAAATTAAACTAATAAAACAATAAAATATTATATTTTTATTATTAATATTGCCAAAATATTACATTTAAGAATACAACAGAAGATAAAATACAAGAAAATAATTAAACATTAACAACAATATAAAAATTACAAATTTAGTATGCACTTAACTATCTGAATTAGTGTATTCCTCCCATAGATGATCTATCAATGCATTACGAAGCGCAATATGGGCATCTTTATCCTTGATTTTTCCGTAACGTGCAATAAATTGAGTAAATCTTGTAGTTTCATCTGCTACCATATCAACTTCTGGTGTTGGTGCTTCCCTCACTTCTTGAATTGGTGCATAAAGATCACGTTCATCCTCGATTATCATATTGTGCATAATAATGCATGCAGTCATTATGTCATGTAATACATGTTTTTTCCAAAAACGTGCTGATCCTGCCACGATTGCAAATCGTGATTGGAGAACTCCGAACGCACGTTCTACATCTTTTCTACATGCTTCCTGTTTCATGGCAAAATATTTTTTCTTCCTACCTTGTGGCTGTTGGATTGTTTGTACAATAGTAGCCCATTTCGGATATATACCATCAGCTAAATAATAACCCATATTATACTCTTTTCCTTGAATAACATAGTGAGCGGGAGGAGCAATACCTTGAGCTAGGTTAGAGAAAAGATTAGATGACTCCAGCACATTGATATCATTATTGGTGCCTGGCATACCAAAATATGCGTGCCATATCCAAAGATCATAATCTGCCACAGCTTCGAGGATAATAGTTGGTGACCCACTACGTCCTGTGTATTGCCCAGACCATGCTGTTGGACAATTTTTCCATTTCCAATGCATACAATCAAGACTTCCTAACATTCCTGGAAAACCACGTTTTTTTTCCAATATAGAGTAGCCTAGCAATATCGTTAGCGTTAGGTGTTCGTAGATACCGCTCTGCGAATATTTCCACCATAGCACGACAAAATTTTGTCATACTTTCAATTGCTGTTGACTCACCTATTTTAACGTATTCGTCCGTAGCATCAGCTGGTAGACCGTATGCCAACATGCGAAAAACAGCTGTTACTTTCTGTAACGGTGATAATCCCATTCTACCAAGTCCATCACTTCGTTGTTGGAAGTAATAGTCATGATCTTTCACTGCATCAACAATACGAAGGAACAAACTTCTTGACATCCGATATCGACGACGAAACATATCTTCTCCAAAACGTGGATTATCGGCAAAGTAATCTATGACCAAATTCTGATGCGCATTTTCTCGATCGCGGTTGATCACTGCATGACCGGGAATCGAGCCACCATGGATCGGTTGGTAGTTGTGTTGACGTAAATTGTTAACGAGGATCATGTTGTTGTTGATGTACTCACAAATTACTTCTTCGGTTTCATCAATCTCTGCAATGATATTGGACAGAAAATTATCATCATCCGAAGATGAAGATGATGATAAGTATGATGGACCTCCAACATCGAAATTCATTTTTGAAGTAAGAAAAGAATGACTGAAGTATGCAGAAATGGAGAATAATAATTTTAACACAACAATGAGTAATTGTGTGGATGTACCTAATCTAGTATGCTATTTATAAAACTTTGCTTAGCTGTATACATTGAACAATGTGTAAAGTTGAGCTGATTTTAGGAAATGCTTTCCAGCTGTTATCAATTTGTCACAAAATTCAAATTTGCTTTTAGCTGTATACGTTGGATAATGTGTAAAGCTGACCTGATTTCAAAAATTGATTCCCACTCGTACAAAGCTTTCACACAATTCAAGGAGAGCTGAGCTGTGTATACGTTGGACAATGTGTAAAGCTGACCTGATTTTAAAAATTGATTCCCACTCGTACAAAGCTTTCACACAATTCAAGGAGAGCTGAGCTGTGTATACGTTGGACAATGTGTAAAGCTGATCTGATTTCAAAAATTGATTCCGACTCGTACAAAGCTTTCACACAATTCAAGGAGAGCTGAGCTGTGTATACGTTAGACAATGTATAAAGCTGACCTGATTTCAAAAATTGATTCCCACTCGTACAAAGCTTTCACACAATTCAAGGAGAGCTGAGCTTTGTATACGTTGGACAATGTGTAAAGCTGACCTGATTTCAAAAATTGATTCCCACCGACAACGTTGGATAATGTGTAAAGCTGATCAGTTTGTACAAAATGATTCAATTTCAAATGTTGACCACCGACAAATTCAAACCAACCGCAAATTCAAATTCAAATTCAAATTCAAATTCAAACAAAAAAAACAAATTTGGATTGGCTATAAATAACATTCACGGTTTCTACTTCAAGCCACCCAATTCGAAGTATTTCTTCAAAGTATTTCTGATCTCCAAACCTACCGCTTTTTATAAAAAAATGTCTGTTCGATCAACTGGATACACGGTTACTGAAGATGTGCTCCTTTGTCAAGTATTCTTGGATATTTCTCAAGACCCTATTATCGGTAGAAACCAGTCTCGAGATGCATTTTGGTCTCGTGTGGAGGACAAATACAATGAACTTCGAGATCAGCATTTTGAGATGCGTACGAGCCGATCAATTCGTTCTCGAATGGAAATTATAAGTAATGAAGTAAGGAAATTGAATGCGTGCTTGAGACAAGTAGAGAATCTGAATCCAAGTGGTGCTTCAGATGAAGATATTGTAAGTATTCTATTAATTATCGTTTGAATTTTATTATTATTGTTGAAATACATAACTTGATGTTCACTATAATTTACAGTTAGTTCGAGCAAAGATGTTATTTATGCAAGAACCGAAGTACAAAAAAGGTTTCAAATTTGATCATGTCTGGAATATGGTTAAAAATTTCGAAAAATTCAAAGATGATGTCCCCACAGCAAGACAAGTTGGTCGAAGACAATCCCAAAGTGTGAACTTCGACTCGTCACAATCAGATAATCCCACTCCGGAATCTCCTATATCAACATCTCCTGGATTGTCATCATTTACTCCATCTGAACGACCTATTGGGGTAAAAAAAGCTAAATTGAAAAGGAAAAATGATGATCATGAGTCAAGTGTAGTGGACTCCATCGAGACCTCCAACAATCGACTTATAGACAGGTTAGACAAGGCGAGCTTGGACAGGCAAGAAGCATTTGATATCGAACGAGAAAAGATAGCCATGAAAAAAGATAGAGATGAATGGAAAATTATAATGAAAGATTTGAATTCCATTGCTGATCCAAACGTGCGTGAGTACGTTCGAGCTCAACAGATTAAAATAATACAAAAAAGAAATCAACAAGAACAAGGGTCTGCTTCTAATTTTGGCAATTATTTTAATGATATTGGACACTCTGGCCCCGATCTACCAGATTATTGAGAGTTGCTTGTCCATCTTAAGTAACGTCACCATGTTTAGTTTGTATTTTATGTTTTATTTTAATGAAGTTTTATATTATGTGTGTCAGTTTTTATATGTTATGTATTTCAGATATGTAATTTATATTTGAATTATGTATTATGATTGCTCTTTAATGAAGTTTTATATTATGTATGTCTAGATTTTAATATTATAATTAATAATAATGTCTGTTAAATTTTAGCATTTTTTTAATTTAAAAAAACCATAATTTATTTTGTCCACATTATACAATTGGGGTGAAATTATAAAATTTAAATATTATTAGGGTTGTTTTATATATTTAATGAAACAATTGGGGACAAATTGTAAATATATAAAAGTATGAGGTTTAAAAAAAATTGAAACATAAAAAAATAAAAAAAAATAGTAATGGGGGATGAACAGTGTGACGCCAAATATAGCGTCGCGCTGTTCATCCCCGTCAAAATGCGGCAACAAATGCCGCTCGATTGGAGCTCCCGTCAAAATGCGGCAACAAATGCCGCTCGATTGGAGCTCCCACGCAGCGGCATTTTCCCTTTTCGCCTCAAAATGCCGCTGCGTGGAGCTCCCACGCAGCGGCATTTTCCCTTTTCGCCTCAAAATGCCGCTGCGTTGGAGATGGTCTAAGGCCCTGTTTGGATTTGTAGGGGTGAATGGAAGTTAAGGGAAACTAGGTGAGAGAATGGAAGGGAGTTCCCTTCCCATTGGTTACACCCCAATTTGAAAGGTAACAAATTCTATACTATTAGGGGATGAACCAATGGGAACTAGGGTGAATAACTTCACCTTCTAAATGTTCCCAAACAAGGTGAATGGAGGTGAATGGTTCACCTAACTTCCCTTCACCCTCATTCCCCTCAATCCAAACAAGCCCTAAGGATAATATTGTCATTCACCATATAAGGTTAAAGGCTTAACTCAACCCTACTGTCCAAATACGAGTTAAGTTAGACAAAGGGACCTGATTGTAAACATTGTGATGATTTGACGGATGTAATAACAATTTTCGTGATTTTGGGGACTAATTTGGAAATATTAAAGATTTGAGGGACTAAAATTGAAATAACCCTAAAAAAGATTATTGATGTTTAAAAACAATACGAAATGTCTGAGCCCAGGTTCGAACTGGGGACCTCTAGTGTGTGAGACTAGCGTGATAACCAACTACACCACCCAGACGAGCGATTAGGATACGCATATAAAAGAAATTTCATTTCAAATATAACCAAAGCCCAGCATTTTATTTCCACAATCTTTCTCATCTCTATAACTAAATCTTTAACAATATAATCAAAATATTCACCAATCGACATAGAGATAAATCGAGCTAACGATATAAAGCAAGAAATTTAGGGGTTCGGCGCAATAATCAGGCAGAACCTTGGAAGCTGTGTTTAGTAATTAGAGTCCTGTAGACGTCCAATTTCAGTTTCAAGCACGAGCTGCACATGCTACATGCAACAAACGAAAGTTTTACCACCAATATAAACTTGGATCAAACGAAGCTAGAATTACAAATTGGTTTCTTCGTAACAACTATGACAAGCTTTGTCTCTGCTGTTTTACCCTCAAGAGGACCGTTTGAGTGAAGAAATTAACACTAAAGAACTGAAACATTATTTCTAAAGCCCCTTCTTTTGGCGTTTGGAGGGCCTCGTCCTCTGCTTTTCCGAACCGTCTCGAATTCTTCTTTCTGCATACTGCTGCTGCTAAAAATCAATAGGGGAAAAAAATCCATGAGATCGGAAAAACGTAAATGCAATAAGATTTTTAAAAGGATGATGTACTTACGGTTCAAACTAATATAAATGGTAAATATAACAGCGCATCAAATAATTATATTTTGTAATCTCAAGTACTGAAGTATGTGTTCCTTAGCTTGATTAAGAACTATAACTTAGCCCCCGATGGAGCCAACTGGCAAGATGAAACAATTTATCAAATAGCTTCATCAGTTGACAGTCTGCATGAATATTAACCTTTTCGGCACTCTTCTGTTTCTCGCAATACTTCCTATGTGGACAAGCAATATCATATAATTTGAATACTATAGGTAATCATAGAAGACTCAAGTATACAACATGATGCAGGTATGAAGAACTTCCATGGTTACACCTCAGATCCATGCCATAGGAACCTCTCTCCCAATAGCGAATAAGAAAAAACATGGGCTTTCATCAGACACACGCAAGGACTAGAACTTCTGACTAGAAGTCCTAGATAAGACCTTCTCCTTACCATCAGAATGTACTAGCTTAGACCATTAGAATGTACCAAGAACTGGGAAGTTAATTATCATGACTCATAATCTTTGCAATTAGGGGTGGCAAATTTTGACCCAACCTGCCGACCTGACCCGTTATAAACGGGTTCAGGTCACGATATATGGGTACGGGTCATATCCGGGTTGAGCCGAGTTACCCATTTATTAGATGGGTTGACCCGGGTTGAGCCGAGTTACCCATTTATTAGATGGGTTGACCCCAAAGTACCCATTTATGACCCATTTGTTTCCTAACCCTAAATTGGCGTCTCTCTCTTGTTTTTCTTCACGCAAAAATATTTTCACACCAGCAACAGAGATAGGTGGTTGAGAGTAGTGACCGGTGGTGGCAGCAGCAGCGATTGGCAGCGGAGGCAACTGGAAATGGCGACGAGCACCCTAGTTTATTCACTTTCTCCTTTCTCATGGAGCTTTGAGCTTGGCCCGAATTACAAGCTCTTTGCTTTCTCTCTCTTTAATTCACTAGCAGATCAATGGAGTCTGTGATCTGCAATGGGAATGTTCATGTTTTTTATAGTGTTTAGGGGGTAATTGATTAAGGTACTTTAATTTCTCAGTCAAAGATTAGATTTTAGGGCGTAATTGTTTTAGGCACTTGAACTTTCTGAGTTAAAAGTCAACATCTTTCTGCACAATCGTTTACATTTTACTTATTTTGCGTTTCTCTTTATTTAGGATTTGATTTTTGAATGGGTTTATGATTCAGTTGATTTTTATGGCAGCAAACTTCCACAATTTTGTTAGGCTAAATATCATACCATCAACCCCAAAAAAAAATACTTCGGACAATTATCAGAAAGCCCTCTTAACTTTCAAAATATCAGAAACCCCTCTTAAGTTTAGGGATTATTAGAAAACCCCTTTAACTTTGAGATTTTATCAGAAAACTCCCTTAAATTTCCCCCTAATTTAAGGGAGCTTTCTGACAAAATCTCCAGGCTTAATGGGGGTCTCTAATAAAATCTGAAAGTTAAAGGTGGGTTTTGTGAAAATCCATACACTTAAGGGAGGTTTTTCTGATATTTTGAAAGTTATGGGGTTTTCTGATAATCGTCCAAATTTAAGAGGGGTTTTCTGATATTTACCCGTTTTGTTATTGTTAGATTAAGTCTATTGGGTATTGGGTTAATGGGCTGTGACCCGTTAACCATACCCCTATTTGTATGACTATATATATATATATATATATCCATACACTTAAGGGAGGTTTTTCTGATATTTTGAAAGTTATGGGGTTTTCTGATAATCGTCCAAATTTAAGAGGGGTTTTCTGATATTTACCCGTTTTGTTATTGTTAGATTAAGTCTATTGGGTATTGGGTTAATGGGCTGTGACCCGTTAACCATACCCCTATTTGTATGACTATATATATATATATATATTTAAGAGGGGTTTTCTGATATTTACCCGTTTTGTTATTGTTAGATTAAGTCTATTGGGTATTGGGTTAATGGGCTGTGACCCGTTAACCATACCCCTATTTGTATGACTATATATATATATATATATCTCTAGTATCTGAATGAATCAATTAAGTTAGGGTTTTTGCTCTCTCAATTATCTCTTTCTACAATGTCATATTAATTAAGTTTAAAGCCAATGTTTCGTTAGCTTCATCCCGACTCTCCAACTACATTTATATTAAAAAATTACAAGAGAGCCATGGAACATATTCTGCTTCTCCCCTCAGATCCATGTGATGTAGCAAGGATCCACGGATCTCATAACTCGATTAATTTCTAATACGAATTTAGCAAGTAATGCCAGGTAGAGTAAATGAAATACACGATACTATAATAATTTTTTAAAAATAAAAAAAGATCAACCTTCAAAACAGCAGAATGAGCATTGATGGCCTTGTGAATAATTTTATCTATCAGTATGTTCTCCTGAATACTGACACCACCCATCTGTTGCCAGTGTCTCATAGATGAGTTGGATGCACGCGCTATAAATTGGCAGCTCCAGAAGACTGAAAATAGAATATCGAAAGATGTTAGTCTTTTTTTTATTGTGCATAGAGAAAATTAGGTTTTCATTTCATATAACACACAAAGATAGAAACATAAAATTCCAAAAGGTAAGAAAATCATGCAAGGAACTTGAGCATCGGTTTCTAGTTACCGCTTATTGAGTTATGCATTTCATATTATATCATCCATACCAATGAGTTACTAAACTTTATGCAATTGTAATATTCTTAGGCTTTTCATGAAGTTATAGAAAGGATACTTACCATTTTCACTAGGAAATATAACTGGATAACATGGCCCTTGAAGCTGAAGAGAGCTATTCCTCATCTCCGGAGTAAGAACTTCATAATAATCATAGTTCCTATCAATCCAGTCATCAAGGGACACGTGGATATCTCCTTCAGGATAATCACAAACCCAGTTTAAACCATCTTCAGAAGGAGTTGGGCATTCCATCAAGCAAATGCTTCTAGCATCAGTTAGCTTAAACTCGCTACTCTTATCAGCACTTTGGTAGACTTGGTTCGGATTCACCCAATACTTGACCTCCAATTCGTGTAGATTTGGATCACCATGTCGGTCACCACACACATTCCCTTTGTAGTCTAGCCCATATGTCAGCCTAACGAGACAATTACCTTAGGTCAGTCAACCAAATGCTGAAATGAGCACTGCATAAGCTAGTACTCAAGATTGTACACACAAACATAAATTCTTAACTAAATTGACATAATGATGCTAGAACAAAGAGGAACCTTTCTACAACTTGGATATTTTCATTACGAGTGCAAACAAAAAATGAACATGAAATCATGTTGACAGGGCAAAATGGTATTCAAATGCATGATGTTAGATTAAGTCTATTGGGTATTGGGTTAATGGGCTGTGACCCGTTAACCATACCCCTATTTGTATGACTATATATATATCTCTCTAGTATCTGAATAAATCAATGAAGTTAAGGTTTTTGCTCTCTCAATTATCTCTTTCTACATGGTATCAGAGCTTCGCCACCACTAGCCGTGCCACTACAGTAACCGCGCCGCTACAGTGTCGCGCCGTTTGTTTTGTCCCTTCTTTTTCCATGGCCTTGAATAGGTGATTCGAGGCCACACATGACCCGATCCGGTCATCTACTACTGCCTTTTTTTTATCTGCTCTTAGTCTATGTTTAAATAACAAATCTCTACTACTGCCCTGATTATTTGACTACTACCTGCCTACCACTATTGTGCAACAATGTCGGAAACAGATCTCTCCTCTTCTACATCTCTCTCTGCTACTGCTGGTCAGACTTCTGCGCCCAAGATAGTCTTGGGGACTACAATAAAATTGAATGGTATAAACTATCTGCTCTGGGCTCAGGCTTTCCGCATCTTCATTGGCGCTCAGAGCAAACTTCCACATCTTCTGGCCTCTCCTCCACCCACCACAGATCCCACCTACAGTTCATGGCTCTCGTCTGATTATTGTGTTATGACGTGGCTTCTCAACAGCACGGAACCACAGATTAGTAGCAGTGTTATGTTCTTAACCACTGTGAAGGAGATGTGGGACAACCTGAAGATTATGTACGGAAATGAGAAGAATGCTTCCCGTGTATTTGAGATTTATGAGCGACTGTTTACGCTCAAACAGGGAGATAGATCAGTTCCGGAGTTCTTTGGTGAGTTAAAGGGACTGATAGACGAACTGGAGATGCATCAGCCTGCAGTAGCTGATGCGGCGACGCTGTTGGGATATCGCCGTGACTTGACAGTGTCCAAGTTTCTTTCTGAATTGCACCCTGACTTGCAGTCCCAGGTGAGAGGATAGATATTGGGTGGAGATATCATCCCCTCACTGACTGCTATATTCTCCAGATTCATGCAGGTCTCTACTGGTGTTTCTTCTGATACTTCTGCATCGTCTCCACCTTCAGTGGATCAGTCTGCCATGTTCTCTAGTAGAGGCAGAGGCCGCGGTCGTGGTCGTGATTCTTTGGGAGGACGTGATTCTTTAGGAGGACGTGGCTCTTTTAGTGGGAGACATGGTGATTCTGATAGGGGTTCACGTCAGTGTGATCACTGTGGGAGGACCAATCATATTTCTGAGAAGTGCTGGGAGAAGTTTGGTCGTCCTCAATGGGCCCAAGTAGCCGATGCCGAGTCGACTCGCTCACCTATTTCTACTACTATTTCTAGTAATCCAGCTACTACTGTTCCTACTGTTCAGATTTCTCAGGCAGATTATGAGAGGTTACGCCAGATAGAGCTCTCTCAGAACAGTCATTCGGCTACTCATGCATCCTCTTCAGGTATGGATGCTTACATAGCTTCTCCTCATGAACCATGGGTACTAGATTCTGGAGCCTCATCCCATATGACAGGTATAAAGGATCGTTTTGTCTCTTTACATCTTTCTGATAAGTTTCCCTCTATTCGCATCGCTGATGGTACACTTTCTCCAGTT